AGTAATTCGCTCATCTCTAATAATAATATTAACTGGTGCTCAAAAAACAAAAGGTAAATACAAATGATTGTTCATCAAACAGCCCCTCTTCACTCTATGCTTCCGAACTTGCATTTATTTATTGTGTAAATTAAAGTGGTTTTAAAGGCAGAAGGTTTTTTTACCTTCATGCCTCCTATGCACGAAGGTAAAAAACCTTCTGGGTGCAGCTCCCCCAGCCCCCCCTCCTTATACTTACCTGAGCCCCATCTTTAGCCAGCTATGTGCATGAGAGAAGCAGCTCTCCCAGTTATCTCTCTCCTTATTGGCTCACACAGCAGCGGGAGTCATTGGCTCCCGATACTGTCAATCACAGCCAGTGAGCCAATGAGTAGAGAACAGGGGGGCCAAGCCGCACTTTGTATGTGAATGGACAATGACCATTCACAGAAGCAGAGCTCAAGAGTGAGCCCGATTGAGTGCCTCCATAGCAAGAGGCTTGCTGTTGGGGGCACTCAATAGTGGGAGGGGCCAGGAATGGTGGCGGGGGACCCAAAAAGAGGAAGACCAGGGCTGCTCTGTGCAAAACCAATGCACAGAGCAGGTATGTATAACTTGTTTGTTATTTTTTTTTAATACAATCTTTATAATAAATAAACATATCAAATGAGTTAGTGCTGCTGTCAACAACAGGAATTAGTCCTCAATTCCCAAAGTAATAATATCTATTACAAAACTCATGATATTGTTACATTCCAAAAAGGAACAGTTTTGGGTCCTCACCCTCAACCTTTCCTAAAGCCAATAACTGCATATACAAATTGGAACATTAGTTACGAGCACAAATGCTATATATACTGTAAATAGCTAGTAAAATGGAGCATGTAAAACGAAACTGTGAAATACGCAATAAGCATTTATTAAATAGTTGGGATTTAACACTATAACAAATGTTATATAAATAAGTGTTTTCTCTATCATCAATCCAATTTTCAGCTGATTATGACCTCTCCATATAATGATACAGAAGCAAAGTGTTTTTTTCACCTGAAACCATCCATCATTGATTTTCAGGAGTTTAGCTGCCCAGTGGGGAAAATGATAATTAGATTTTCTACTAACAACATTTCCTTTTGTTTAAAGTTACTCATTAGAATTTCTGTTTACCCTTTGACCTATAAACTGAATCCATACATTTCTTGACTATTGCCTGAATTTTGCAAAGCAGCCAGTATTACTTCAGCTAGTATACATTTAGTTACAATTTGCACAGAAATATATTTAATCTAAAATATATCCTAGATTGTAAGCTCGTAAGAGTAGGGCCCTCTTACCCCTCGTACGCTGTCTGTCTATGTTGTACTGTGCCATGTATTGTCCCCCCCTATTGTACAGCGCTGAGCAAACCCTTTGGCGCTATATAAACTCGTAGTAATAATAATAATAATAATAAATATCATATGCATATATATAGTACATTTATACAAAAGTAATGTGTTATTTAAAAATATACTCTACTGTAGTTAATGTTTATTGAAGAAAAAAATCATAAGATACAATAAACATTAATTGAGTATAAGATTGTACCAAGTCTATGACTGTCAATAATAAAATAGGTTCCACATCCCAAAAATTGTACTAAAGAAAAAAAGAAGGGAGAAGGGTAGGACTCCCTAGGTAAGAACCAACAACATCATTAGAATAAAAACCAAATTTATTGAACAAAATTACAAATAATACAAAAGGACATATACTGGACCAGTCTGTGCTGGATTGTAACTACATAAATAAATAGAAAGCATTCCATTCGTTGGAAAGTTTCCAGATTGATTCAGAGACCTTGTGACCTCAACTTATTTCAGCTTCATCAGAAGGTAGAAAAGTGGTCTAGAGCAAAAACACATATGGATAAACACCCCATGTAAACATAAATAAGGCCATTCATATAACATAGGCTACTGGTACATACCCAAAAAGGGAATACATAAGAAAGCACACAAAGAAAGATGCATGTTCTGTGTGGCAGAACTCAAATTGAATCGGGTAAAATACAAGGAGGGTAAACCCAGCCATCTAGCACAGTAGATAGAGGTAACAAGCATACACACAACAAAGGGGAGGGGGCAGAATAATTAATAATATTGTGGCCACCAAAAAAGGGAACCTAAATAGAGACACAATAGTAAACATTATAGGAGGCTACATCAGTTACAGTATATACCAGAATCAAGGTTGATTACCAATGTTGACTTTAAGAATCCTGAAAATTATCACAATGGAAGAACATCCATTCTGATGCTTCATGCACCCAAAGAGGTCAATAGGCAAGATGTCATAGAGCAAGATTTAGACATTATCATTAATCAAAGAGCCCCTACAAGCTCGTAAATTGGAAAACTGAGTATAGCGGTGGTAGGTTTCCATACCTACCAAACCAGAATATCACAAAATGTGAATCTAGGGGTTGCATGAAAGGTCACACTGGCTTCAAAGCAGAGGTAATGCTGCATATATCTACCACACATCACATCGCATTGCCTCTATTAGCAAGAAGATTAAGGCATATACCTGATAAAAAAAAGCATGCAACACACAATAAAGAATTACCCTGACAAGTATACAGAAACCCAAGCCATTTCAACTTCCAAAAAAAACTACCTGCCAAAATTGCGGCCTGCAAATGTTCAGCAGATTGCCTCAATGGTTCCCAAACAAATCAGTAGGGTAAACAGCACAAAATGCCTCCAAATTTGCCTTCAATTAAAAGGACACATATAAAGGACTTCAGAGATATCATGTATTCCGTCACTGTAGGAGTGACTCATGGTGAACAATGATGATAGAATAAATTGTCCAAATGTGAGTATGGGAGATCAAAATGTCTCCAACAATAGGTGCTCCTTCCAAAGGAGGAGCTACAGCGTTGTGACACTATGCCACCGGCACCACGTGGGTTCCGGCGGCTATCTTGGTCATCACTACACGAGCTGTATGTATGAGGAAGTGAGGCCATATTACCAGCAGAGAACAGAGAGGGGAACACCTGACCAGACCAGATTTATACAGGAGCCTGGAGTGTGCCCTATAAGAGTATTGTCTCTACATGCGCAGATTGACTGTGCATCTGGTGAGTGCACAGCCTTATCATACATACTGGTCACCTCACCATTTGTTTTGGACAGAGCACCTATTATTGGAGACATTTTGATCTCCCATACTCACATTTGGACAATTTATTCTATCATCATTGTTCACTACGAATCACTCCTACAGTGACGGAATACATGATATCACTGAAGTCACTTTATATGTTGGCACCTTGTCACGAGTCACTTTATTATATTTTATATGATTCATGTTTTTTATATTTTAATAATTTTTGCATATAGATGTTTTGATTATTATTTAAGCTACGCACCTTATACAGTGGGGAAAAAAAAGTATTTAGTCAGCCACCAATTGTGCAGCCACCAATTTTTGCTCACCGTTCTTGTGATCATTTTGACCCCACGGGGTGAGATTTTGCGTGGAGCCCCAGATCGAGGGAGATAATCAGTGGTCTTGTATGTCTTCCATTTTCTAATTATTGCTCCCACAGTTGATTTGTTCACACCAAACTGCTTGCCTATTGCAGATTCAGTCTTCCCAGCCTGGTGCAGGTCTACAATTTTGTTTCTGGTGTCCTTCGACAGCTCTTTGGTCTTCACCATAGTGGAGTTTGGAGTGTGACTTTTTGAGGTTGTGAACAGGTGTCTTTTATACTGATAACAAGTTCAAACAGGTGCCATTGATACAGGTAATGAGTGCAGGACAGAGTGCAGGAAGGTACAGGTCTGTGAGAGCCATAGTTGAGGTCTACCTATGATGCCAATTACAGGCCTCTCTCATCTTTTTAAGTGGGAGAACTTGCACAATTGGTGGCTGACTAAATACTTTTTTGCCCCACTGTATATAGATGAGAGAGACCTGTAATTGGCATCATAAGTAGACCTCAACTATGAGAGAAAAAATGAAAAAAAAAAAAAATCCAGACAATCACATTGGCTGATTTGGAAAGAATTTATTTGCAAATTATGGTGGAAAATAAGTATTTGGTCAATATCAAAAGTTCATCTCAATACTTTGTTATACTGTATATCCTTTGTTGGCAATGACAGAGGTCAAACGTTTCCTGTAAGTCTTCACAAGGTTGGCTCTACATCAGTTTTCTATCTCCTGAGGAAGGCTCACTAAGAGCTGCAATGCGTTGAGGTTCCAAGGTCCAGTATATGTCCTTTTGTATTATTTGTAATTTTGTTCAATACATTTTGTGTTTTTTTTTTTTTTTTTTTAATTCTAATGATGTTGTTGGTCGGTACCTAGAGAGTCCTACCCTTATGCATTAATTGACTAGATTTTCAAGAAATCAATTTTCTATTACAGCTAGGTAGTTGTATATTGATAGTTAAAACAAAGCTTTACACACAGAATACAAGGAATAAAGTATTTACTGTATAACTGCAGCAAAATTTGAAGAGTAGAATAAAACAGTGACAACAAACAATGTATTTCAACATATTTCTCCACATATGTGAGTGGATGCCTCAACTTTAAATTTGCCAAAATGACAAAACTAACCTCTGCTGATTACAGACAAGACAATTTTCCAAGTATTTCACCAACAATTCAACATAGAAAGCAAGAAGAAGGTTAAAATTAAGAGAAAACGTGTACGTTATTTGACATTCAAAACATATGTTTTTACGTAAGATGTACATTGTTCATCATTCTAGAAATGTGTCTTTACAAATCCAGAGGTCACTGAAATTATTTATGTAAATGGAAAAGAGATAAGATCTAAGCTTCATATGTGCAAAAAACATGTACTAAATATCATTTAGGTCAGGGCCCAAAAGAAATACAATATTTATTGCTGTTGGTGTTTAGCGATATTTTAAAGATGTGCCGTGTATTGAATGTTTCAGGGTACCAAATGAAATATTCCACTAGCCAGCAATTGTTTACATTCTTTTGTCATTTAGTGCTTCTTCTGATGTCCCCCGATCTCCAAGAGTGCAATCTCCTGTAAAGGATCCAAAACAAAAAAAGTAAGCATACTAGGCAAATGCCTTAAGAGATTTAAGCTTGGTTATCATCAAACTATCAGTGTTTACTTTTTTTGGTGAAAAGATCATCATAGAGTTGCAGAGTCTCTGATCCAAAACAAGCATGCAGGAAATGGAAAGTCTGAATTTGTTTTTGGCCAGTGACTTAGAAATTTCTGATGCCAAAGCATTAGTATGACAGCTAGGTAAAAAAGGAATTACAGAAGAAGAGTCAGTAATGGCAGCTTTCCTTAATTTCTTGCAATAGAGTTTTTTAGCGTGATTTCATTTTCAACAATAGAATTTACTTAAAGTGGAACCAAAGGCAACAACACGTACTTCAGTTCCTATGGTTTGATGCCCACAAGGTTCCATCGCCAGTGCTGGCATCTTCTATGGGGACGCTATGGGGATGCAGTAGCCACACAAACACAGCCACAGGTCATAACTTGACAGACATTAGTAACAGAGGCAGTGGATAGGGGAGTACACATGCCATGGCCACAATGCTATGCTTCGCAGCAATGGCAGAAATTATATCCCCATCAAACAAGACCCAGTTAGGTGAATAGAACTGCTATGCAAGTGCTCAGCAACCATGTACAAAGTACGTGGTTGCAGCATGCTGGTGTGGGGTTAAGGCAAGCTGGCATATACCTTCTCACTGCCTCTCAAATGCTATCTGAAGTGTGATCAAAATACTGACTGCTCTTCAGATAGCAAAGCACATGTGAACGAGCCCTTCATTTTTGTTTTAAAAATTTTTTAGAAATGGTTTAACTTATTTATAATTTTTTTTACATTTTTAACAACCCTAATGGGGGCTTTGATGAAATATCAGGGGTCTAAACAATAGATCCCTGAAATATTACATTTGAGACCAAGAAATAGACTGAGGACATGCTTCCTGTTCATTCACAAACTGAAGCATAGTAAACACAGTTTATTATGCTTCAGTGATGAATAGACACAGGAACATTCAGTGTTCATTCCCCTTTGTGTTCACGGGGGAAGGGGGGGGGGGAATGGGGCTTGGATAGCAGAGGGTCGTAGGCTCAAATACTAGAACTGACCCCCCCTTGCAGAAAAGCAAGAGGGACAGGGAGGAAGAGAAGCTGATAGCGCTGCAGGGGGAGGCAGAAGAGAATCAGTGTCAGGCTGTGAGCAATAAGGCAGTACAGCCATAATTCCTGCCCCCCTTTTGAAATGATGGGGCCTGGACCCAGTACTAGAGGACTGGCTGTATTGCCTTATCAGCGGCCTCACTATTGCAATATATATTGGACTACAGAATGATTAGCTTTAATATTGTAGAGATCTAAGACTGGTTGAGTAGTTTAGCAAAAGAAGCTGGGCTTCTTTTGCTAAACTTTGTTTTTAAGATCAACAGGTGATTTTCTGTACTTGCTGGGTATTTAAAGGATTAAACAAGGGAAATAGTCATGTGTTGCAGAAAATTACGGTGTAAGTTTTTATTGCCTTGACCACTATAAATAACAAGTCTGAACAAATTTGACAATAGGCTTGACACGCTTCTGGGGGTAAAATGTCTATTCAGAATTTTTATGGAGATAAATTGCAACAAACTTTTGTGGAGACAAACAGGATTTTTAGAGTTCATCTATGCGTTATACTTATGGACACTTACAATGGGGAATTTATAAAAGATGTTTGTTTTAAAGACAACTATCCCCCCCCTAAAAAAAAGACTTCGAGTCCATCCACTCCCATAGCCTGTTGTAAGGCATGGACACGAGCTTACCTTACCATGTCAGTGCTGTAAATGACCAGACCAAACACTGGAAATGAGCATAACTGGTGAAATCAGCATTTGCTAAGTGATTATTGAGGTATAAATGTCAGGAAGACAAAATTGTTGTACAGTAAAATCTGTTTCTTGGAGATCATTAAGAGACACAGGATTCAATTGTTCTGAGGCAATTGGGTTTTGCAGTTGTCTCCAGGAGGTATATATTGGCAAATTATAAACCCCCCCCACCCATATAATCCTGCCCCTAAATGTAAATGAAAATATTACTGGAAGAATGTCAAAAGAACTCAATGCCTGAACAGGGCTAGATGAAAAAAGGGGAGTAAATACAGAAATTGCTACTAAAAAGTAAAGACACCAAGAAAGACTTTGGTGTTCCAGAGCAGGGCAGGTAGCACAACTATAGGGAGATTGGTGTCTGACTGAATGATGGACCTCAAGAATATGGAGGACAACAAAGTAACCAACATGATGAAAAACTGGGGAGAGAAAACTTACAGCAATTGTTACAGTAAGTGGTCAACAAAGCAAGAATGTTTGTAAGGTAAAGGCTGAACCTCTCCTTCATCTCCGTTTGAGAAATGTTGGACAAACATGATATATCCTGACTAAAGACCAACCAGTGAACAGCTGGTGGTTGAGGCAGTAAACCATTAACCCCTGAAATTAGAAAAAGAGAGATCCAAAGTATAACAGTCCTCTCAAGAGTGATCTAAAGGAATAGAGGGAAGGAGACCTTTAAAAACAAAAGAAACAAGAGAACCAAATCCCTTTTAAGGCAGGGATGGAAAGATCTACACACCTATACAAAATAATCCATATAATATGCAGATAATCTCATCCAGGGGAAAGGAAAAAGTCCCAACACCAACTTGAGTGCAGAAATATTCAAACACAACACCACAGTGGGAGAACCAAGCAGTTTAACGGATTATAAACTCCTCAAATTATAGTATGCACTTGATATACTAATAAACGTCCTGGCGTTATATCACTTCATTCATATCCAGCATTAAAATTCTTATTGAGATTATGCTTTATGGATTGATCCCCTCGGACTCCATATACTGTATCTCAGCCCAGAAGTGTAATTTTGAGATAACATCAGATGAAAAGAATATACCTGGAGATGACTAACAATACAGAATGACTCCGGTTTCCGGAGACCACATGTGGAAGATGCATTGAGTTGCTGAGCCCGTCCATTCAGCAGGTCACCGATCGCTGGGTAACAGCTGCCTTCGGCATATCCATGGCTGAACTCTGGTTCTAAAGGATGGGCAATTTCAAACAATATAACTAAGCAACATGTTCTACACCTGGTCTCTAGAAACCGGAGTCATCCTGTATTGGTTATCTCCAGCTATATTCTTGTCATCTGATGTTATCCTGAAATGACGCTTCTGAGCTAATATATATCGAGTTCGAGAGGATTGATCCATAAAGCATAATCTTGATAAGAATTTTAATGATGGATATGAATGAAGTGATATAAAGCCAGGACATTTACTAGTACATCAATTGCATATGACCACTCTAAAATTTGAGGGTCTTATGATCTGGTAAGCTGTACTATTTTGTATTCTTATTCAGTTTATTCAGAGCCGCATGCTTAGAATTTGTACGTTTTATTCGTGATCAATCGAATGTATGCTGGCAGCTTTTTATTTAGGTATCCAAGCGCAGTTAATGTTTTATACTTTATATACCTATACAAAAGCCCAATATAGAGCCCAGTGTCCAATGATAATATAATAGACTCATATTTCACTATTTAGAAGTTAACACGCTACTCTAAACTAGCACAGTAAATAAAGTGTTAAAAGTACCAAAATGCAGAGCTCATTGCTCAAAGGCTTCATACTAGGATATTATTAGTATATCTGAGTTCTACTCACACTGGGAGACATCAGAGGTTGGCATAAACCAGAGGCTTTACTCTGCTGGTAAACTAAAGATCGCTCTGTGGCTAACTGACATGGTACTCATAGGTTGGGAAAGAGCCACAAGTCAATTTCAATCTTCAAATGACACTTACCAGGATATCTCTGTCACTTTTAGAGACATATTTACACAGGGAGTCATCATAGACTGGGTTACACCACAAGCTCTATCACTGCTGTGAAACTGGCCTAGTACAAATGGGTCTGGAAAGTGACACAATGCAGAGCCCAAAAGTCATATTCGAGATTATCTTTACCCTCTCCATGGGCCTACCACAGAATGAGTCTTCAGAGACTGATCACACCACCAGAACCTGTGCCATAGCTCTAGACCTGAAGAGCACCATGTGGCTAACTAACACAGTGCATTAGGGGTCAATTCATAAAAAAATTGCTGTGCAAATGTCTCCAATTACTTGTACAGCCAGGACTAATCCCCATAATTTGCCTAATGCGTTTATTTCCTTTGAGCGTCAGCTTCATCTAGCAGCCATAATGCAGAATTTCCTGAAATATCTCAGTCAGGGAAATGCCACAATATGGCCACTAGATAGAGCTGATGATCATAGAAAATAAACGCATTAGGCAAATTATTTTTAGGATTATTTGTCACATCTGTGCGAATGCATGAGGCATCTACACAGAAAATAGTTTATAATTAGAATCCTACGTCTGTATAACACCACAAACAGAGTCCAGTACCCAAAGGTCACATTCCAGGAAGGTCGTGCTTCAGTCCAGCAGGCTGTATAGAGAATATCTCAAACAGCACATTAAACATATTTGGAGAACTGTGTGACGAATCTTGCTTCTCTGTCTAGCAATCCAATGGACGTGTCTGGGTTTGGCGGTTGCCAGGAGAACAGTACTTGCCTGACTGCATTGTGCCAAGTGTAAAGTTTGGTGGAGGGGGGATTGTGGTGTGGGGTTGTCTTTCAGGGGTTGGGCTTGACCCCTTAGTTCCAGTGAAGGGAACTCTTAAGGCGTCAGCATACCAAGACATTTTGTCCAATTTCATGCTCCCAACTTTGTGGGATGGCAATAGTTTGGGGATGGCCCCTTCCTGTTCCTACATTACTGTGCACCAGTGCACAAAGCAAAGTTCATAAAGACATGGATGAGCGAGTTTGGGGTGCAGGAACTTGACTGGCCTGCACAGAGTCCTGACCTCAACCCGATAGAACACCTTGGGGATGAATTAAAGCAGAGACTGCGAGCCAGGCCTTCTCGTCTGACATCAGTGCCTGACCTCACAATTTCACTTCTGGAAGAATGGTTAAACATTCCCATAGACAAACTCCTAAACCTTGTGGACAGCCTTCCCTATGGACTAAGACTGGGATGCCATTAAAGTTCATATGCGTGTAAAGGCAGGCATCCCAATACTTTTGGCAATACAGTGTATATCGTAGGAGGGCCTTATGCAGTAAATTTTTTGGAGTTGACAGGCATTTCATAACTTTTGGAAGCAAGCAGACAGTATCTCTTTCAATCTGACAGATATATACTTGCCAAGTGACCCGGGTGCTTTAATTCCGCATCTCACCCTACTCTCATCCAAACACTATAAATGTTCCCTTGTGCTCCATCTGTTAAGCACAGCCAAAGCATATATCCCTCTATATTGTAAACAAACACTGGTTCCTTTAGCTGCATAAGGTTAATGAAATTGAACTCATGGAAGAAATTGTGGCGTCTGGTAAGGAGCAACTGTTTCGTAAAACCTAGTTCTATTGGTTTGCCTTCACATATTCCTCCAACTACCATGTGTTCATGTCTCTGATGGATACTTGAACTATACACCCAAAACCGAAAAGACAATTGTGCGCTAAACAAACTAAATTTTAAAAAATAATAAATGAAAAATTAATTTAGATGACTGCAGCAACCTTCAACCTATCTGGGCATCAGATGTGACAACATGATAAAAAACATTATAAAGTGTGCTGTGACAAAATGATAGAAAAGATAAATAAAGTACGCTCTGACAAAGTGATAAAAAACATCATACAGTGTGCTGGACAAAATTATAAAAATTTTTATAAAGTGCGCTGTGACAAAATGATAAAAAACATAAATAAGGTGCTCTGTGACAAAATTATATAAAACATAAATAAAGTGCGCTGTGACAAAGTGATAATAAACTTCATAAAGTGCGCTGGACAAAATGATAAAAAAACATTCTAAAGTGCGCTGGACAAATAGAAAAAAAAAAATTATAAAATGTGCTGATACTAAACTTAACGGGGCCTTAATTTCTCCCGATGATTCTGAGGTCTTGTTTTTTTGCGGGAAGTAGTTGTCCCCCCCCCTTTTTTATTTACGTTGTATATATTTATTTATTTATTTCCCTCTTTCCTTCCCTGCTTCTTTTCTTTACCTTTGAATTAGCTTGATTTTTCTGGTTGTCTATCTTACTGTATTTAGCGTTAGGTTCTGTTACCTTTACTTTGCTTGCTGTGTAAGAGTTGTAATAATCATACTTGCAATGAATGCCTTGACCATTCAGCATCATCATGTTATTCAGTGTATTGCACATTTTTTTTTTATATTTCACCCAAAGGGTATCTGATATACCTTGTCCTTTTGGATATCTATGAGTAATATTGCTGTCAGTGCCTGCTATATCTGTTTTTTAGGATGATTGCGATAGTGGTTATTTTTTTTGTCATACACTTGGTTGAGCCCTGCATTTCTTGCAGACTTGTATTTTCTGTAAAACAAAGTGTTCTAGTCATGTGACTTGTATGTATTTTTGTCAGAATCAAAATAAAGAATTTATAAAGAAAAATAATAAAATATATCTAGTTTTTTTCCTAGGACACTAGCCATAAATTGAAGCATGGTGGTTAGGGGCAGGGTTATACAGGTTTGGCCTTTAAAGATTTTCTGTTTGCCAGCGTAACCCAATTGTTTTAGATTAACAGAATGCTGCATCCCTTTGTGAAGAAGCAAGAAAAATTATGGGAATTCTCTTGTGGAGATCCATTGGCAGCATCTTTGGTCCTGTTCAAATGATGCCCTCCAGCTGAGTCCTATTTGCCATTCATAGGTGTCTAGGTCAGTGGTGGGCAACCTTTTTTTTCAACTGAGCCAAAATCTCGCCAAAACCACGATTGAAATTTATTTTGAGAGCCACATTTTTAAAACTGAAAATACATCCCCCATATAGTAATTTATCCCCCATAGTAATTCATCCCCCATAGTAATTCATCCCCCATATAGTAATTCATCCCCCATAGTAATTAATCCCCCATATAGTAATTCATCCCCCCTATAGTAATTCATCCCCCATATAGTAATTCATCCCCCATAGTAATTCATCCCCCATATAGTAATTCATCCCCCATATAGTAATTCATCCCCTATAGTAATTCATCATCCCCCATAGTAATTCATCCCCCATAGAGTAATTCATCCCCCATAGAGTAATTCATCCCCCATATAGTAATTCATCCCCCATAGTAATTCATCCCCCCATATAGTAATTCATCCCCCATATAGTAATTCATCCCCCATAGTAATTCATCCCCCATATAGTAATTCATCCCCCATAGTAATTCATCCCCCATATAGTAATTCATCCCCCATAGTAATTCATCCCCCATATAGTAATTCATCCCCCATATAGTAATTCATCCCCCATAGTAATTCATCCCCCATATAGTAATTCATCCCCCATAGTAATTCATTCCCCATATAGTAATTCATCCCCCATAGTAATTCATCCCCATATAGTAATTCATCCCCCATAGTAATTCATCCCCCATATAGTAATTCATCCCCCATATAGTAATTCATCCCCCACATAGTAATTCATCCCCCGTATAGTAATTCATCCCCCCATAGTAATTCATCCCCCTATAGTAATTCATCCCCCCTATAGTAATTCATCCCCCCTATAGTAATTCATTCCCCATATTAATTCATCCCCCATATTAAGTCCCCAAGTCCCCCCTGTGTCAATTCACTTACCTTTGCTCCGCGCGTTCTTCTCGCTGTGTTCCCGCGCCGTTCTGGTCTTCAGGGCGGACTGTGAGAGGAGAGGAGTTCGCCACGCCTGCTGCCCCGCCTACATCCTGACAGCTGCAGAGTCCGACTTTTGGGGCGGCCGCCCGAGAGGAGGGAGGGGAGCGGGCGCCCGGCACACAGAAGAGCCGCATTTAAGTTTGTAAAGAGCCGCATGTGGCTCGCGAGCCGCGGCTTGCCGACCACTGCTCTAGGTTAAGAAGAGGTGCTGAACAAGGATTTGATGGAAGAGAAGAACAGTAAGTTAAGGCAGAGCTGATACATAGCACAGGATGAATTTTGGTGGTGGAGAAGAAACACACTAAAAGTAGGTGCAGGAGAGGGAGAAAGGAGCAGATAAGAATGGCACTGCAGATAGAGGAAAGCAACAGTACTGGGTGAACCTTAGTTTGCCCTTTCTCCATGGCTCCATTGACCTAGAGCAGTGGTCGGCAAGCCGCGGCTCGCGAGCCACATGCGGCTCTTTACAAACTTAAATGCGGCTCTTCTGTGTGCCGGGCGCCCGCTCCCCTCCCTCCTCTCGGGCGGCCGCCCCAAAAGTCAGGACTCTGCAGCTGTCAGGATGTAGGTGGGGGGCAGCCAGGATGTAGGCGGGGCAGCGTGACGAACTCCTCTCACAGTCCGCCCTGAAGACCAGAACGGCGCGGGAACACGGCGAGAGGAACGCGCGGAGCAAAGGTAAGTGAATTGACACAGGGGGACTTGGGGACTTAATATGGGGGATGAATTAATATGGGGAATGAATTACTATAGGGGGGATGAATTACTATAGGGGGGATGAATTACTATGGGGAATGAATTACTATAGGGGGGATGAATTACTATACAATGAATTACTATAGGGGGGATGAATTACTATGTGGGGGATGAATTACTATGTGGGGGATGAATTACTATATGGGGGATGAATTACTATGGGGATGAATTACTATATGGGGGATGAATTACTATGGGGGATGAATTACTATATGGGGGATGAATTACTATATGGGGGATGAATTACTATGGGGGATGAATTACTATATGGGGGATGAATTACTATGGGGGATGAATTACTATATGGGGGATGAATTACTATGGGGGATGAATTACTATATGGGGGATGAATTACTATGGGGGATGAATTACTATATGGGGGATGAATTACTATATGGGGGATGAATTACTATATGGGGGATGAATTACTATAGGGGGGATGAATTACTATACGGGGGATGAATTACTATGGGGAATGAATTACTATATGGGGGATGAATTACTATGGGGGATGAATTACTATATGGGGGATGAATTACTATATGGGGGATGAATTACTATATGGGGGATGAATTACTATGGGGGATTAATTACTATATGGGGGATGAATTACTATATGGGGGATGAATTACTATAGGGGGGATGAATTACTATATGGCGGATGAATTACTATAGGGGGGATGAATTACTATATGGCGGGAATTACTATATGGGGGATGAATTACTATATGGGGGATGAATTACTATATGGGGGATGTATTTTCAGTTTTAAAAATGTGGCTCTCAAAATAAATTTCAATCGTGGTTTTGGCGAGATTTGGCTCAGTTGAAAAATAGGTTGCCCACCACTGACCTAGAGTATCCCTTATGAAGTGCACCTCTCCTGTCTCTCCAGCATCCTCACATTCAGCATTCCTCATATACTATGTATCGCCTCAAAGTTGGGGTACTATAATACTAGATAAACAGAATATAACTGGATACTAACATTTATAGGTAAAGTTGATCCAGGGAATATCCGATTGCCTCCCGGGGGATCAGGAAGGAATATTTTTCCCTGCAGGAGCAAATTAGATCATGCATTGCTAGTGGTTTTTTTTTGCCTTCCTCTGGATCAACTGTGGGTATAGGATTATAATTTTTTTTTTTTTTTCTATTTTTTTTTTTTAATGGTTGAACTGGTTAGACTTTTGTCTTTTTTCAGCCAGACTAACTATGTAACTATAATGCTATCTTTGCAGTAATATGTTTACAGGAAAAGCTGTTGTTCACATTAAAATTTTTGCATGCAGGGAATACCCCAAATTGAATTCTCCATCTCTGACGGAGCAGGCAACTACTAAGGAAACAAAGCTAAAAAGGTAAAGTTGTGTGTACAATCAGAAGTCAAAATAGCATAAAAAAACAATAAAGGATTAGTGCTTCTTTGTGTCACATGGACTGCAAATTATCTTGAACTTCTGCTATTTTAAAAATTCAACCAGCTTATTTGTGATTTCCTCTAAAGAGGAAATTTTCACATGTAAACATGCAAATTAGACGTGTACCTTTTAGCCTGTGATTGGTGGTAGGGGAGAAAAAGATTTTGCATCATCTAGTAGAGACTTGGAAGATTAAATGATTCTGGACCACCAATTGGGATCCCAGCCCATAGAATTGTGCACCTCGGCGTTAGGAGAATGTGCAAAATATACATAAATCTTTTTCTATGAAAGTTTGGGACATATAGTACCCCCCTCCCCCAACTCACTTGATACATTTCCGCCAGTAATGTATGTAAATACAGTGGCTGGATTTAGCTGATGTGTTTGCTATAGCAAGCTCTATGTAGGAGTTCAAACTACTGTATGTGAGTTTATCTCTTGCTGTGACTAGGCTGAGAAAATAAATATCTCAAATGTATTCCCAGTCCTCTGCTTCAAGGTCTGGTATGTCCTGTTGCCAGTTAAAGCCTAAGTCAAAATGAAAAAAAAAAAAAAAAAAAAAACACAACAATTAGCACAAGGGACAAAACTTACAGTCAGCAGGATGCGTCCATTTTGATCATGCTTCTTCTGTTACCTGAAATCCCCTTTCATTTATTTCCCCCTCCACAAATGATATAATCTTCCACTGCGAGAGGGGCTAATAAAGCCGTGGGTTACCACCACAGGCTCTCATCAAGAGTGCCCAACTATGTCTGCCCCTTCCATCCAGCTCCTCCATTCATACAGTAGAAGCAGTTACTACAGCTTTCATGAATAAACAGGATCTATGAATGAAAGATGGGCCGATGATTAAAAGGTTCATTCCCAAGTTCTATTAGCCCTCGACTTCCAATGGTGGGAATGAAGGAGGGTGTCAGCAAACAGAAGAGGCATCAGCACAAGGGATACATCATACTGTCTGTAAGTTATGTCCCTTGTGCTGATTGTTGTGTTTTTTATTTTGACAGCACTTAGTCTTTAAATAGGATTTCCACTCTAGAAGTCAAATTCGAGAAAATCCTACTATATGTTTGTTATATGTTGCCCTTCAGATAGCATGCCTAAAAATGTTTCTTACTTTTTAGATGTTTTGCAGGAGAAGGTGTCATTGCTGACTGCAGGGGTTTTTTTAACAATGTTAGAGTGCGCCCGTCCCAAGTTTGTTTTTCATTAACATACAATGCAAAAAGCCCAGCCTCTACACCTTTAACTCTTTGCTAGGACAGACAGTATTCCCATCTAATTACAAGTGATAATAAAAATCTGCCTGCACAGAACAGAGTTAGTTATGGCAAACACAGCTGCTCTGCCCCCTCATAAACAAAGAGAACTATGTGGAATGTTTCCATTCTGGAGGGTCCAGAATAGAGCATTGGCAATTTTCAATTATATATATTTTTTAAGTTATGCTATGTGAATGGGGACACATAATTAATATAAAGTAGGTATATAAAGTCTTTTTTCAATTTGGCTGCAAATAGCGGAATTGCACTTTAGGTTGCAAGGTGATGAGTTCTCGAGAGGTAGCTTAGCTGATTTGACTGTATATGAAGGACGCTAGCTTGGAGAAATATTGGGGATTTTAAAATAAGTTTATAAATAAATTGTATGTTTATTGATAAAAAAAATCAGTTTTTCTTTTTTAGCAATCTGATGTGTTGGCACTTTTAAAGTCCCTTTTGTATTAGTACAAAATGTGCTAGGATTCGGTGATATCAGGACAGGAAGTATGTAAGGGCTACAAAGTATTTCCCTCTCTCTACATCTATATAACATGTCAGCTGTTCTGTAGGGGTGAAATGGGAATGCCTTATAACACTGCTTGAAATAACACTGTAGAGTACACATGACATGACACATGATTATCAAACAGCTTTTAACAAAATGCCTTTAATTTGATATTTTACAGACCAAAAGGGAGCAAATAAAATAAGGTCATTGTTCAGGTATTCCAATGCTTTTATTCATTCTCTCCAAGACAACTACTGATACAAATAACCAGTTAAACGTTAAACATGGCAATATCTTGCTTCTGCTAAATGGGAGCACTCATAGGTAACATTTGTTTGATGGTGGTGGGTGTCAGCCACTGTGTTTGACGCAATGCAGGTTTCAGGTTAAGGTATTATCATGATAACTGTGCAGTAATAGGTTTACAGCAAGAGGCTGTTGTTCATATTACAATTTTCTCATGCAGGGAATGCTCTGAATTGAATTCTCCATCCATGACACAGCAGGCACCTGCTAAGGAAACAAAGCTTAAAAGGTAAAGTTGTGTGTCAGGACTCACTCAAAGTATTGGCACATCAGTAGCACATAAGCATAAAACATGCTATTTTACCATTAAAGGTAGTCTATGCCCAAACTACTGTTTGATCTTGGAAAAGAAGAAATTTCAACCAGCTTATTGTGATTTCAGCTGAAAATTATTTTTCTACTATTCACAACGCAAAGCATTTGAGCACTTTGTAGACTGTGAATAGTGGTGTTTATGTTTGGTACAGTAGCAGAGAGAACTGGAAATGGATATAATTAAAAACTGACAAGATGTTTTTTTCTTTCACTAGTAATTGAGGGTATTTTATACTATGGTTTTTAGCTTGTACACAACCTCATACAGGGGAGGTCTGGGAGGCAGAGGGGCATTTTGCCCTTAGGGAAGTACGAAGATTTATTGGGCTGTTAGCCCTGAATGGAGAAACTTCCTAATTCAGACATCAATTAGCGGGGAATGTGCAGTCAATGACACATCGCTGGCATTATGTAGCTACCTGATTCAGACCTGCAGTGTCTCGCGGACGGAGGTCTTCCAGTATCAACTTCCTTTGTGACTCTCAGACAGCATGTGACTCAATGTTGAGAGCCACATAGAAAGCTAATGCTGGAAAATGGGTCAAGATAAACCTTGTTCTTTAATAACAACAACCTTTTTACCATGCCCTCCAATCAATGAGGCACCATGGCACATTTTTCATGATGTACTTTATATAGTCCCTGTCCCTAGGAAGCTAAAGGTTCCCATTCCTCCCTTGCCATTCTAGGGTATGGGTAGTACCAATGCTTTCCTTCTGAGCTGCTTGAATAAATAGAGCTGCGAGTTAGATAGTATATGTCTAGGAGCACAGGTAAATACACTGTTCAAAAAAATTAAAGGAACACTTTGAAAACACATCAGATCTCAATGGGCAAAAATCTCATGCTGGATATCTATACTGATATGGACTGGGTAATATGTTAGCAATGTAAGGATGCCCCATCGTTTGATGGAAATGAAAATTATCAACCTACAGAGGACTGAATTCAAGGATACCTGAAAATCAAAGTGAAAAAATTATGCAGAAGGCTAGTCCATTTTGCTGAAATTTTATTGCAGCAACTCAAAAAGGTACTCAGTAGTTTGTATGGCCCCCACATGCTTGTATGCATGCCTGACAACGTTGGGGCATGCTCCTAATGAGATGATGGATGGTGTCCTGAGGTATTTCCTCCCAGATCTGGACCAGGGCATCACTGAGCTCCTGCACAGTCTGTGGTGCAACCTGGCGGCGTCGGATGGACCGAAACATGATATCCCAGAAGTGTTCTATTGGATGTAGGTCAGGCGAGCGTTGGGGCCATTCAATGGTATCAATTCCTTCATATTCCAGAAAATACCTGCTTACTCTCGCCACATGAGGCCAGGCATTGTTGTGTACCAGGAGGAACCCAGGACCCACTGCACCAGCGTAGGGTCTGACAATGGGTCCAAGGATTTCAGCCCGATACCTAATGGCAGTCAGGGTCCATTGTCTAGCCTGTAAAAGTCTGTGTGTCCATCCATGGATATGCCTCCCCAGACCATCACTGACCCACCACCAAAACGGTCATGCTGAATGATGTTACAGGCAGCATAACGTTCTCCACGGCTTCTCCAGACCCTTTCACGTCTGTCACATGTGCTCAGGGTGAACCTGCTCTCATCTGTGAAAAGCACAAGACACCAGTGGCGGACCTGCCAAGTCTGGTGTTTAATGGCAAATGCCAATCGAGCTCTATGGTGCTGGGCAGTGAGCACAGGGCCCACTACAGGACATCAGGCCCTCAGGCTACCTTCATGAAGTCTGTTTCTGATTGGTCAGAGACATTCACACCAGTGGCCTGCTAAAGGTAATTTTGTAGAGCTCTGGCAGTGCTCATCCTGTTCCTCCTTGCACAAAAGAGCAGATATCAGTCCTGCTGATGGGTTAAAGACCTTCTACAGCCCTGTCCAGCTCTCTTAGAGTAACTGCCAGTCTCCTGGAATCTCCTCTGTGCTCTTGAGACTGTGCTGGGAGACACATCAAACCTTTCGACGGCCATGGCACATATTGATGTGCCATTCTGGAGGAGTTGGACTGCCTGTGCAACCTCTGTAGGGTCCAGGTATTGCCTCATACTACCAGTAGTGACACTAACCCTAGCCAAATGAAAAACTAGTGAAAAACAGTCAGAAAAGATGAGTAAGGAAAAAAATGTCAGTGGGTTCAACCTGTAAAACCATTCCTGTTTTGGGAGCCGTCTCATTGTTTCCCATCTAGTACACCTGTTGTTAATTTCATTAACAACCCCCTCTGCTACTTAACTGACCAGATCAATATCCCAGTAGTTTAACTGACTTGATGCTATACTCTGGTTAAAGTGTTCCTTTAATTTTTTTGAGCGTGTATATTTTGACAACCACATCCGGGTATGCTGCGTTTGCAGCATAAATTAAATTGATTAGTATAGCAGTATATACTATTGTTGTACTCTTTGCAGGAGTCATTCTACTGAAGTTCATTCTTCATCTCATACTTCCAAGAAGCCAGAAAGGTAAGTTAGTATTTGATGGTCTGTTGCATAGTTGTATGTTGCAAGCTGAGCCTCCGTAATCATCCTATTTATGTATTTTATTAGGAGGCTGTCTCTGAATACCTCGCCATCATCTGCCTCCAGTAAAAGTTTCACCACCCACAAAGAAGAAAGGTAAAGCCAAATGAGTAAAGTAGCATGAGTGTTTAAAGAAAAAAAGAACAAACATTAATTGCTTTCATTTTGTTCTACTCAGAAGAATCTCAGCTAATAACCCAACAGTCAATGTTCGGAATGGATCCAGCAAACTTTCCACACATACCAAAGAAGAAAGGTGAATAAAGCTTTAAAGTAAAAACATTGTTATCTACCTCTCTGTTACTAATACGTATTTTTGTCCTGTAGGCCAAGTGATGCATTGGGAAGCTCCCCTACCTGTAGCAATTCTCCTTCATCTGTACTTCTACCACCCTCCTATGTGACAGGGGACTCTGTTAGGGATAAATGTGTGGAGATGGTGGCAGCTGCTCTGAGGACTGATGGTAAGACTAAAAATGTTAGGTTAGAGACAAATTAGGGATAAATGGGGTCCTAGGCCAGGTAGCGCTTAACTGTTCCCCACGACCAATCCTTCAATTGACATTATTACATTTTTTAATCTGTATGTAGAAGATGCATTTGCCATATCTGTACTAGCATGTTCCACACCAACTGCCTTGTAGGCACTGTACTTGTAGTACATCCTCCTTTGTGAAGTGTCAAGCAGGTGCCCAGCTTTGACCAACTGTACTACCTTCTTAGTATAGAAGCATAAAGATTGTAGATGGGCCCCTGCCTAAATTGCCTTGTAGATGATCCAACTCTATATAAGTTGCAAATGGTAGTGGATTTGACATGCATTTAAAACTAAAAGTTCTATCTAAGAAAAGAAGGAAAACAGCCTTAAATGTACATTTAAAAATGTATAATTGTAGCTAAAACCAAACACCTTTTAGCTTTACATAGAATTGTGACTGCTCTGTGTCCCCCATTTACGTGTTTTCACTTCCTGAGAAATAGCACAAAGGAAAAATCTATTCTCCAAGACAGTTGTCACTGCTATAGATTATTCCAGTAAAATATTTCCCCATCCTCTTCTGGTGACAACTGTAAAATTTTATATTTCTCACCATTTTCTGCCCTGTTGACAATGGTTACCTGTACAATTGGTAAGGGCCAAACTCCCCAATGGACACACAGACCATGATAAAACCTAACAATGATCTAGCCCTTCCCTATTATATCCAAAACTAAAAAAAATGTTTAAATATACTTTAAGTAAATAAAGCTTTGCAAGTGAATGAGTGCCAAAAAATGTAATTTGTTGGCAAATCACACCACGGTTTAGGAAAGCTTCTCATCTTCCTAAATAATAATTTCCCATATTTCCTTCTAGGTGACCATATAGAGTATGAAGCAAACTGTGACAGGCTTGCATGGGAAATCGAAGAATATATCCTTTTTAAATGTGAATATGATTTTTATTTCTGTTCAAGGAGAGTTCTGATCACGATGCAAATCAAATATTATCACATTTCCTGCACTTGCATTGCATTGCAGTTGCTCGAACCTGTTACTAAAGGATAAAATTACATATCAGATCTTTGCAGCTAAAGGAAGGTCTCCAATTCTTTATGGGGGTGGGGGATGTACTTTACTGCTGGATGGAAATGCATTTTGGGAAGTAAATAGATTGTGGTCTAGAAACCATAGAATTATGATGCCTTCTATAGGTCCAAAAGTTTCTTTATTTTGATTTTTGCAGAAACTGATCAATGACAGATTTATAACTGAATTTTGTATTGTGTCCTTTGAAGTCACTATTGCCACCATAACTTTGCAGAAAATGTTTCTAGCAGGGCAAGAAAGAACTGACACAGCTATAATATATGCCCTTAATTTCTTCAAACTAAATATTATTTATTTCCACTTCCTGATGATAGATAAGTAGTAAATAAATGTGCAGATAAAATAAATCAACTGTGGATATATAACAACCACAACCTACAGTGCAATCTCCCAATAACGACAAACCTATAAATAATAATGTCCCAAACAATAATATCCCAAAATAACTAATTTATCTTCTTCCAATATGAATCCATGTGCTTCTCATTTAAAAGATAACTAAAACCAAAGAACAAAAAAGGTAAGATATTGCAGCTTACAGTCCTTAGATGTGCTGGCTGCATTAGTTTTCTTTTTTTTTTGTTCAAGCTAAAAACCTTTTTAGCAAATAAAGAAAAAATGCAGTGCCCTTGTCTCTTCCTATAGTGACATACAGTATGATAAGGTGTACTCCCCTTTAATATAACGTTGCTGCCATATCATAAACAAAACATAAACTGCGTATATTATAAAATCCTTATACTATAATTAAGTTAAAGGCATAGCAAGTTGCCATTCACATGAATAAATGCATACTATCACTATTTCACTAAGCACAAGCAATGAACTCTGAGAGCCTTGAACCGCTCCAACGTCTCCCGCAGTGTCGGCACTCCTTAGGATAGCCTGCATGACAAGGCTCCAGCCTGACGTGTTTCGTCAAAATGACTTCATCAAAGGGGTACAGTTAGGTCACATAGGAGTTTCTCCTATAGCTACTGTAGCACTACCCCCTTAGGAGTCACTAAGTTTTGGGTCCCCTATAGTCTTGCACAGCCAGGCAACACACATTATCTACAGACCTTGCACACTGGAGACAGTAAACAGTCCTTGAGCTTGTTTTTTTTTTTGTTTTTATTAAGGGGTATTGAACTTGGATGGGGTTGAAAGGTGTATGGGATGCCGAAGGAAACTGCAACTTGAGGACAACTCCTTAGCAACTATGTACAGGTCCACAGACAAAGATTCTCTTTGAGAGCTCTCCAGCCCTCCTGGTGTACTACCCCAGATGAATTCTCCTCTTTACCCAGCTGCCTGAGGGAATCTCTGGACAAAGGGGCCCAGAAACTACCACTTTAACTCAACAGTCCCAGATGGGGACTAGTCAGGTTTCCCACCAGAATGGCAACCTCTTATCTGGCCTAGAGTGTGTGAGATTACTCACTCAGTCCTCTCCTGCAAGCTTGGGGGTTGGTGGCTGCCTTCAGGCCTTTAGCTGGGCTGACGCCTTCCCTGCTTCTGAGGCTGTCCTCTCTCAGGGGATGGTTGAGGCTGAGAGATCTTCCTTTCCAGCTCCTGCCTGCAGATAGGCCCCTCTCCTAGACCCCCTCCCAGGCTCCACACTCCAGTTTCACTCCTTCTTCCACCTGACGCTACTCTACTGCTGATCAGGCTCTCTCATACTTATGGGCTTCCCTGACTCCATGTCAAGCTTCCTGCTTGGGGTTTGGCCAAGATCCCCTAAGTATGCAGATCTGCCCTCCTCACCTCCGCCCACTGCCTTCTATAAACCTCTCAAGATTCTAGAGCAGGGGGAGGTATCAGGGAACTGACCTGCAGAGCCCTCAGCCCTGACCTAGAGTGAATCGGGCTGACTCATCCCATGCTGACTCACACCAGACTGCTATTCACCCTTTAGCTGAAAATCTATCTAGTTCCCCCTAGCTAACTAGAGGGGCGCTACATTATAATGACCAGGAAACTCTTCCTGGTATTAGCAACATACTACATGTACAAGCAGAATTGGTGAAAGAAGCAGCTTTTGTTCAAAGCAAAGTCTTACAAAGATGGCCTAGGTTATAATATAGGCATGTTTGTCATGACCATCATATAATGACATTAATGGGGCTTTTGAACACCCATCATGGTCTTCTTATACATTGTGGGTTTTGTGCTCCTCATACTGTTTTTGCTTGACGTTGTTTTGTTTAAAAAGGTTTGATTATACATCCTCTTGTCACTTTCCATGACATTCTCACTTATATATAGAGAAATGAAGGCTACAGATATGAAATACAGAAACAGAATCAGGAGTCGGATTAGTAATTTAAAGGATCCAAAGAATCCCAGTCTCAGACGAAATGTCCTGTGTGGCATCGTATCAACACAGAATATTGCAACAATGACAGCTGAGGTAATCAGATCTTACCAAGTACATTGTTTTGTGGACCCTATATTATTCTTATGATGTGGATATTTTTAAGATGTCCAAAGAATAGTGGCCAGAGTTTACAGCTAATTGGTACATAAACAAGGTTTTCATTCAAGATGACAACTCATTGTTAGTATAAAATATCGGTGTTTGTGCTAAAATAGTTACAACTGTATTCAAGTATTGAACATTTACTGTTCAATAAAAATTCAGGAATAAGTTAACTGCCCTCTCCAGCCACTCACTTCCTCAGACTCTTACTGGATTTTCCGGCCCACATATAAAAATGGGTCTAATAAAGCTTTGCAACACCTCCTTTTCTGTGCCCTCTGTTCCTTCCAATAGTGATTTTACTTCAGTGTTTCTACATCTTTCCCAAAAATCTTTATCTCATCACGTATGCATCCCCCCAAATTAAAAAACTCATATAGTGCAGTAATATTAAAATTACTATAAAAACTACTATTACCAGTGATACCTGGCCTTTCACCCCTCCTGCATATCTTCTTACCAACATCCACTTTAGAAGGCTTATTAATTTACTCCAAATCTACGTTCTCCTCCTCACAATCCTCATCTTCGGTGTCACTTGAAAAGAAGATAACTAAATCAGTGTTGTATCACCACAACTAATGTACACTAAATAAATTGTGCTCACAATAAACCCTGCTCCATATAGTGTAAAGGTTGGAAATCCATACTGATGGATTCACAACCTTACACCATACACCTTTGACAAAGTTCTATGATAAAGGTTACGGACTAAACATATGAGGAAGTGATGGCAGATGCTGACCATGGATCTAGAAGTGTCTATTACACAACCTTGAGCATTGGATACCTACATCTCTTTATTTGTAAGCAGTGTTATGGTATATAAAGCCTTTTTAATGGGGATTTTTGTACTATGAGCTTCTTTTATCCATTTATGTCCTATATATCATTTAATCATTGGGAGTTAAAGCACACCAAGGATACCACCAAGAGCATAGGCAGAACAGCACAGTTGCAAAGGAGTAAGCACCTGCAGCACTAGGGTTGTTGGTTCAAATCCCAACAATGGCACTACCTGCCTGGAGTTTGCATGTTCTTTCTCTGCCTCTATGGGTCCCCTCCGAGTACTCCAGTTTCCTCCTACACTCCAAAGACATGCTTGTAGGTTAATTGGCTGCTGTCTAAATTGGACCTTGTATGGGTATGTATGAATGTGAGTTAGGGACCTTAGACTGTACACTCCTTGAGGGTTTGGGACTGATGTGAATGTACAATATATGTAAAGCACTGTATAAATTAACAGCGTTATATAAGCGTTATATATATTTTATATAAAATGTCTGGCACATTTTGCTGGCTGATAGCTCAAAAAAGAGTGGGAAATTTGAGTGGAGAGTGAAAAACAGTTTTACTTTTGACTGCTGGTGATTGCTGGTGCTTGTAGTTGTTTTATTTTCTCCTTTTGGGTCTTGCTAGAAGCTTTTACTTTTTTAAATCACTTTTTCTTTCACTTTTTAATATGCATTTCTTTTCTTCCTTTTCTTGCCTTCATTCAGTTTGCTAATTAAGGGGAGGGGTTAATTGGCCACAGGTGCTACAGGTACTATGTAACTCTGAGCTTGCTCATTCTTGAGCTTGCCTGTATTTTGTTTGCTGGAACTTTGACCAAGTGGACATTTGATTAAGTGGAGTTAAAAAACTGGAGTTGAAAACAGGAGATTATAACAGAAGTCTACTAACCTGTAAGTGATATTGTAACTGGGATATGAATGCTAGCAGAGTTGAAGGTTTTGTGCAGTGCACAGTGTGCCGCATGTAAGCAACAATGGAGCAACAGCTCCGGGATAGATACCGCTGTAACAGCTGTGAGCGGGTAGCCCTTCTGGAAGCTCGTGTTAGAGATCTGGAAGAGCAAGTTTCAACACTGGGCAGAATCAACAACCTTGAAAAAGTTGTTATGCTCCTTGAGCAGGTAGCTAATGGGATTGATGTGGAGGGTGGAGGGGCTAATCAGGATTATCAGGTAGGAAGATGGGTTACTGTAATGATAGGGAGTTTTAGGGGCCCACAGAAAAGGAAGGTTGGCCCTGGTTTTGTGCACCCAAACAGATTTGCCAATTTGGGTGAAGATGTGTGGGTGGCAAGCTCAGGGGTGGCAGCCCTCGATGTCACTGCTATCCCTAACAGTCAGGAGGGCAGACTATCTGGGAGGGGTGGTGAGGGTAGTGCAGGAAGGCCTAGACAGTTTGTGGTAGTAGGGGATTCTAAAATCAGAAGGACTGATAAAATAATTCCTCACTAGGATCGTCTCAACCGAATGGTTTGCTGTCTCCCTGGTGTCAGGGTTTGGCATGTGATGGACCGGGTTGATAAATTACTGGGAGGGGATGGGCAAGACCCAGCTGTCTTGGTCCATGTTGGAACCAATGAAAGAATACATGGAAGGTGGAGGCTCCTTAAGAATCAATTTAAAGAACTAGGCTACAAGTTGAAGGGAAGGACCTCCAAGATGATATTCTCTGAAATATTACCTGTGCCATACGCAACTCAGAAAAGGTAGGGGGAGATTAGAGAACTAAATGCATGGCTAAAGACCTGGTATAAAAGGGAAGGATTTGGGTTTCTAGAGCACTGGGCTGACTTTTCATTGGGGTGCAACCTATATGCCAGAGATGGTTTGCACCTAAGTGGAAGGCGGTCTGCTGTGCTGGGGAAGAGGTTTATGGGGAGGCTGGAGGAGTATTTAAACTAGGATCGAGCGGGAGGGAGAATTAGATTATAATGGGGTAGACAGATTAGACAGAGGTCAGTTCTTATTGGTGGGTGGAATTGGAAAGAAGGAGGGAAAGCTATGGCAGATGATAAGAAGGTTTCCATGTTACAAACAACAATTGGAATTGGTACCATTTGTATGAAAATAAAATATATGCAAAATACGTGTGCACAAGGTGTCAGTGAATTAAAGTGTTTGTTCACCAATGCCAGAAGTCTGCCAAGCAAAATAGGTGAATTGGAAGCTTTGGTGCATGAACAAAACTATGATTTAATTGGTATTGCTGAATCTTGGCTTCATTCTTTACATGACTAGACCATTAATATTCTTGGCTATTTTCTCTTTCGAAGAGATGGTAAAAAAGAAAAGTGGTGGCGTCAGTCTCTATGTGAGAAGTGATCTCAAAGCAAGTGTGAAGGAGGACTTAGTTGATGGAAAGTGTGATGAGGCTGAAGCATTATGGGTGGATCTGCACATGGGAGTGCATACTACAAAGGTAATCACTGGAGTTTGTTATAGGCCTCCCAGTGTTAATGAGGAGGTGGAGACTCAGCTCCTTGCACAGATCAAAAAGGGCTGCAAGGGCTGAAATAGTGATAATAATGGGGGATTTTAACTACTCAGAAATTGACTAGAGTAGTGGCACTGCAGGAACAATTAATGGGCAAAAATTTATAAACCTACTACAGGACAATTTTATGGTACAGTTCATAGAGGCTCTAACTAGGAATGATGCTCTGCTGGACCTGGTAATCTCAAACCATGCAGAGCTTATTATGAATGTCCATATAAAAGAACATCTGGGTAGCAGTGACCATAACATGATTTCATTTATTGTTAGCTGTAAACATCAAGCACATATGGGAAAAAAAATAAAAACACTCAACTTTAAGAGAGCTAATTTTCCAACGCTAAGAGCTGCTCTCCAAGACATAGGCTGGTAGGGAATATTGGCATCGATAAACACAACACTGAAATGGGAGTTCTTCAATAAGACTGTATGTGAAACACACTGCAAAAATATATTCCCATGGGCATCAAGTTTAAAAGGCTAAAAGTCAAACCTATGTGGCTTATGGCCCAAGTTAAAGAAGCTATAGATAATAAGAAAAGAGCTTTTATTAAATATAAAAATTAAGGAATGCTATCATCGTTTAAACATTACAAAGAATATAACAGAATATGCAAAAAGGAAATAAGGGCCACAAAAATTGAAAACAAACAACAGATTGCAAAAGATAGCAGGACAAACCCCCCAAAATTCTTCAAATATATTGATAGTAAAAAGGTCCGGTCCAAGCATGTAGGTCCTTTACAAAATAATCTAGAGTGGGTGACCGGGGACAAAGAGAAGGCAAATTTATTAAATACCTTATTCAGCTCTGTGTATACAAAGGAGCATGGGGGAGCTCTTGTCCATAATGGGCATGGTATTGGCAAAGGTGAATAGAGCATCTGGACTGGATGGCATACACCTACGGGTCCTTAAAGAATTGAGCTCTGGCATTTAAAAGCCATTTCTCATTTTTAGGGACTCTTTAATGACTGGCATAGTACCACTGGATTGGTGTAAGGCCAATGTGGTTCCTATATTGAAAAAGGGGTCAAAATCTTTACCAAGTAATTATAGACCTGTTAGTTTATCTTCTATAGTTGGGAAGATACTGGAGAGTTTAATAAAAGACCACAAAGATGAGTTCTTGCTGTAAAAAAATATTTTAACCAACACACAGCATGGATTCATGAAGGACGGAAGTTGTCAAACAAATCTGATTTCTTTTTATGAGGAGGTGAGCAAAACCTTGGACAGAGGGGTAGCTGTGGATGTGGTATACTTGGATTTTGCACACAGTTCCCCACACACGGCTAATGTACAAAGTAGTCTACAGGCTTGGATAAATCCATATGTAAATGGTTAGAAAACTGGCTAAAGGATCATATTCAGAGAGTAGTGGTTAATAAATCATACTCTGCATGGTCTAGGGTTGTTAGTGGTGTACCCAGGGGCAGACTGACAACTCATGGGGCCCCCGGGCAATAGGGGATCATGGGGCCCCTGTGTCCTTGCCCAAACTCAAAAAAGCCTATGAAAAAGGTACCAGGGGCATCTCATGGGGCCCCTACTGACCCCGGGCCCTCGGGCAGTGCCCGAGTTTCCAAATGGTCAGTCCGCCCCTGGGTGTACCCCAAGGTTCAGTGTTGGGACCCTTACCTTTTAACATATTTATAAACAATATAGGGTCTGGGATTAAAAATCCCATTTCAGTCTTTGCAGATGACACCAAGCTTGCAGTGGAATAATGTCCTTACAAGATGTCTGCAACTTACAAGCCCACCTCAATGCACTGTTTAATTGGGCAACTATATGGCAAATGAGGTTTAATGCTGATAAATGTAAGGTTCTGCATTTGGGAGCTAAGAATATGAATGCATCACACATACTAGGGGGGGGGGGTACAATTGGGGGAATCAATCGTGGAGAAAGATCTGGGAGTTCTGGTAGATCACAAGCTTAAAAATGGAATGCAATGCCAAGCTGAGCAAAATCATCTCTTGTATTAAAAGAGGTATAGACGCCAGAGAGAGAGAGATCATTTTACCCCTGTACAGATCATTAGTAATACCTCATCTGGAATACGCAGTTCAGTTTTTGGCACCAATTGGGGAACATTGGGGAAAAAGAACATTGGGGAACTGGAGAAGGGCAACCAAACTGATAAGAGGCATGGAGAGGAGCTCAGCTATGAGGAAAGATTAGAGTAATTGAATTTATTCTCTCTTTGAGAAGTGGAGTTTAAGGGGGATATGGTCAACATGTATAAATACATCAGCGGTTCATATAGTGAACTCAGTGTAGAGCTATTCACCCTGAGGTCATCACAGAGGACAAGGGGGGACTCTTTACGTCTGGAGCAAAAGAAATTTAATCTCCAAATACGGAAAGGGTTTCTCATAGTGAGAGCTGTGAAAATGTGGAATAGACTCCCTCAAGAGTTGGTTCTGGCCAGCTCAGTGGATTGCTTTAAAAAAGGCCTGGATTCTTTCTTAGATACACAGAATATAACTGGATACTAACATTTATAGGTAAAGTTGATCCAGGGAATATCAGATTGCCTCTCGGGGGATCAGGAAGGAATATTTTCCCCTGCAGGAGCAAATTGGATCATGCTTTGCTGGGTTTTTTTGCCTTCCTCTGGATCAACTGTGGGTATAGGATTATAACTTTGTTTTATGGTTGAACTGGATGGACTTTTGTTGTTTTTTCAGCCAGACTAACTATGTAACTATGTATTAAGTACTTATAATAAATAAATAAACACACAAATCCCATGCAAATAGTGTACCTGCTGGGATTCAAGCCCAGTACCTCCACACTTTAAGCAAGGGTGCTACCCATGTGAATGCTATGTGCCATGAAAGGCCTGATATCTTCAGGTAAACCAAAAACCTTTTTTAGTACATCTTAGAATGACCCTCCCCATGTGAGTCCACACTGAGATTGACTGCCAGTCTCAGAGGTTCCTTCCTCAGCGATCCCTGTAACAACTTTACATTATAACTGTATAATATTTTGATACATAGTTGCAATTTTACTGCAGATCAGATTTTTGATTTTCCTATAAATTTAGTTGAAGCAATTCCTGTTTGTTCAAAATCTAATTAATTGTGTTTGGCTCTTATTATCTAATGTTTTCAGCTTTTTTGTGTTTTTTTTTAAATGGCCATTATATTAGTAAATAATGTTACCATACTTTATATAAAAAAACTTAAAGAGTGTTTGAAATGTTAGCTCTAACTGGAGCTTTTACCACACTGTGTAAGTATGCAAAGCATATTGGCACAGTATAGCTAATTTACCTTAGATATTGCCCCCCCTCATCATTGGAATGTCTAGAAAATCCCATTTGTCGTTCCATTGCTTTCATCGTCATCCTGTCTAATGGGTTAAGGAGTCTCCATCCTGGCACTTAGCCCTGGCATTTATAAGAAGTTGCAGGTGCAGTAAAGCGCTGAGCAAACAGTTGGCGCTATATAAATCCTGTATAATAATAATAATGTGCAGTGTGCAAGTCATAAAAAAACTTCCAGTAGGCAGGGGAAATGTTTTATGTCAGAAAAGACATACAGAGTCTCTTCTACCATATACTGTATATCTATATGCGAGCAACTTTTCACTTTAATTTGAACAAAAAGCAGGAAAAAATTGGGGTGTCATTTTTATGTACAGTAACACCAGTTGTGTTAAACCTATCACTGGACAATGTTAAAATCAATAGAAAATAAAATAACTTTAAAAGAAACCTCCCTCCCCAGAAAAAAAACTCTATATGCAGTACGCACAGTATATAACTTTATTTTCAAAAGTAATAATGAATTTAGGCAAATCAAATCACAGGTTCCTTTTGTGCCGTCTTCTGTCAGTTTGTTGATACTGGGAAGCACTATAAATGACCAAAGGAAAGCAGCGCTCTTAATATGAAATCACAATTATGATATCATATCAAATAGATAAAATTATATAATAAAACTGCAACTGCCGTATCTACAATAAAAACCTAATTAGTCAATTCAGCCTTGGGAGAGCTCATTAATCACTCTTCCCTGGCCGCCTGGCAGAAAACTCAGAGAAAAATTTTGTATGCTACAGAAAAGCAAAAGTAAATTGTCACTGCCATAGCGTGATAAAATATTTCATGAAGTAAAGTCAATACAGTAAAATGTATATAACAATGTAAGATGTGCATATCATGGTCTGAGTGTGAAAGAGGAGATCCAAAAAAAAAAAGAGGTTGCAGACATCTCACATTAACCATCCCTTTGTTCAGCAATGGGTGCCCAAGATCTTGGCCTCATTTGGAGTCTTGCTTTAATCTTTTTTTTACCTAAAAAGACATGCCACCTTTTGGTCAGTGCTGACATCTTCAGATCATATCTTCCCCATTCAGGCCATGATGTGTGAATCTTACATGCTGGTTGGTGACTGCATATACTGTATTTAAAGCTGAACTCCATACAAACATCTAAATACACACATACAATAAATAAATAAAAGCTGCTTTATGTGCCACAGAATTTGTATCTCTGTCCATCTATTCCTGAGATTTACACAGGTTAGCTCTAAAGCATAGCCCTGTCTATCAGGGAAGGGGACCTGATGTTTCTCTGTTACAATTTCATTTTGATATCTAGGTGTCCTCCTGACCTCATCCTACCCCATGACTGAACAGTGAATGGACAGGTAGCACACTGATGGTCTCATCCCTATGTCACTGCTTTCTTCTTCTATCAGCATGGCTCCTTGGATTGCAGCACACCCACTGGCTCCTACTACTTACTCTCCCTTACCCTCTTGAGCTGAGCTCTGATATGTAGACTGTACAGTAGACCGCAAGAGGTTGATACCAAGTCAAATTAGGGCACTTACACTGTTTTTCATTTTAAAAGATATTTAACGATGTATTAATGAATACAGAGCTGCAATAATTAGCATATTTTAGATTTTCTCAAAGTATAGCTTTAACTATTTGTACTTTTTTGGAGTACATTATTTTTACATTATGGCCTTGTTTTTCTCTTGAAAAAAATGTGAATTATTGTTTTCTCCTGACTGTTATACTTCTCCCAAGAAAGCATGCTCTAGTAAGTGACTTGGACCACTCTTGAATGACAGGAGATGGCAAGTGATGAGTTGAAGGAGCTCAGGAATACGATGACACAAGAAGCCATTAGAGAACATCAGATGGCAAAGACTGGAGGAACTCAGACCGATTTGCTTCAATGTGATAAGTGCAAGAAGAAGAACTGCACCTACAACCAGGTATGTCACACTAGATTAAGATTATTTGAAATTATTATTGTTGTCATTATGTTTCAACTCCAGGCTGCACAAATAACGTTGATAATTAAAATCATTGCTGCTCAACTGCGTTGGAATTAAAGCAACCTTGTCGCTATACAAAAAATAACAAGTAAAGTCTACCTGTAACAGTAGATGGTAAATGCTCACCTTTCCTACTGCCTAATACCACTCTGATCCTGGAAAATCGTCTACTGGGAAACTGGCCCATCCAGGAATGTCAATTGCAAGGACCCCCCAGTGGCTTACACTTTTCAATTGTCAGAAGTAGGAACCAGAGAGAACTGAGGGGACTAATAAGAGATCAGCAATCCAGGATGTGTCGGTTTCTCAGCAGGCTTTGAGGGAACAATTTCACAGCACTTGAGTTGTGTTCAGTGGCACTGGAAAGGGGAAAGGTAAGTACCTATTCTTTTATAGGTATGGCTTTGCTGGATAATTTTGTATAATGACAACGTTGCATTAACATTGTAAGAAAGTGTATTCAAGTAATCTATGATTTAATTATTTTACAATCCACAGCACCCTGATTCAGTGGGCTTTTTATTCTGTTTCTGGGTGAAATTTCATCCTCTGGTCACATGATTCTTCTTTGTGCTATATCCCTAACTACAAATGGGGACATTTGTGGGTATATTAACCCCAACAATACACTTTTCCTGCTCTCTTTAATATGTTTATTCGAAGAATTTTGTTATATCTGTTAAGTGCAAAAAAGCAGGGCTTAAGAGTTAAGGGGAAATATGGCCAAAAGAGCTGTGGGTAACAGAAGTACACTTGGTCCTGCACTTCTGTGACCCAGGTTCACCTGACAGTGAGCTAAAGTCCACTTTCGGTTGACATTTCAGAGCAGGTCCAGGCTCTGCAGGGATCCTGACATTGGAAGCCGGCTCAGCCTCTTAACATGCCGTTGTGAGTCTCCAGTGCGTGCTGGAGAAGCAGAGCATTGAGTCACCACTCTGTGCTCACAGCGAATCCAAAATTGAGTGATCAGTGGTCACTGGTCGCTCAGTTCTCAGTGTAGAGGTGATGGGGAACAGATGCAGCATTGGACCAATGCTGCATCCACCTAGTTGAGAATGAATGTTTCTCTCATTTTCTGACAGATTAACAGATATTTTTCTGTACTTGCAGGTATGAAACATGAGAAAATGTGCATGTATTGCAGGCATGTACTATATATGTTTTTTTTACTTTGCCTTGATATACACTTTAACCACTTGCCCTCCTGAGGATTTACCCCCCTTCCTGACCAGGCCATATTTTGTGTTACGGCGCTGTGTTACTTTAACTGACAATTGCGTGGTCATGCAACACTGCACCTAAATTAAATTTACATCCTTTTTTTTTTCCCATGAATAGAGCTTTCTTTCTGTGGTATTTGATCGCCTGTGCAGTTTTTATTTTTCTGCGCTATAAAAAAAAAGCAATTTTGAGAAAAAAACAATATTTTTTACTTTTTTCTATTAAACATGTCCTGTAAAAAAATGTAAAAAATCAAATGTCGTCATAAATTTAGGCCAAAATATATTCTGCTACATGTCTTTGCTAAAAAAATCCCAATATGTGTAAATTAATTGGTTTACGTAAACGTTGTAGAGTTTACAAATGGCGGTATATATACTGGGATTTATTTTTTATCTTTACTAGTAATGGCGGCGATCAGCAACTTATAGCGGGACTGCGGCAGGCATTCTCACACTGGGATGAACTGACTTGGTGTCACTGGAGATGTCAATAAAATAATAAAAAGCACTGACACTGTACTAATGGCACTGGACAGGAAGGGGTTAACATCTGGGGCAATCAAAGGGTTAATTGTGTGCTGTTTGACTCTGGGCTGTGTGTATGCTTCACTGTAAGTACACTGCTTTGTATGGCTCTGCTATGCAGAGCCATACAAAGCAGTGTGCAGGAGCTGACAAGGAGAGAACTGTATTATTTACATACAGTTCTCTCCCTCCATTGGTAATGCTCTGCAATCACCGGGTGCCGGCGAGAAATCACTGGCTGGGACCTGGTGAATGACAGCCGAGGCTGCGAATAACAGAAATGCAAAATCACACACACACATATATATATATATATATATATATATATATTTATATATATATACATACAGTGTGTATGTCTGTGTATATATGTGTATGTGTATATATATATATATATATATATATATATATATATATTTACATAGCTGATTTTGCACACCCCATCTGCCCTGTAGCAATATATCTGCTATATGGCGGCAGGAAAGCTGTTAATGTTCTCTCATTTTAATCATGGAATATTTGTCAATGATGTATGATTGATCAAGATATCAATTTTGAGGTAATAATTATTGACCCTCAATAGACATCTTGGTAAGTAGTGCATCATAATTTTCCCTCTCATTTCTGAATCATTCATACCATTAAGTCATAATTGTTTCACATTTTTAAGTGTTACAACAATTCATATA